AAGCGTCCAACTTCAGCCAGGTCACGATCTCGCGGTCCGGGAGTTCGAGCCCCGCGTCGGGCTCTGGGCTGATGGCTCGGAGCCTGGAGCCTGTTTCCGATTCTGTGTCTCCCTCTCTCTCTGCCCCTCCCCCGTTCATGCTCTGTCTCTCTCTGTCCCAAAAATAAATAAACGTTGATAAGTATTTGTTCAATGAGGACAGAGGGGTCCTGGTGCCTCCCGGTCCTAACCTGACGGTCCCACGCCCCTCCCATCCTCAGCAACTCGTGCCTTCCTTTGTCAAGGTCCAGGACGGGGCCACCATGGCGCAGCAAGACTCCAGTGACCCTGGGCAGTGTGACCCATCACCACTGCCCTCCCGATGGACACAATTCTCTCCCACACCCTCCACCCCCTTCCTGAGGATATTTTTGGGGCAAAATTATAGATACAGAACTGAAAGGAACGAAGATAAATAGCAAATGGTAAAAGAAGCTCTCTCTAAGTAACAGGGCTTGTGTTTAATCCATAATCTCAAATTTTTCCAGTTTGAAGAATAAAACACCCTCACCTCTTCGGCCCTGAGGAACCCCCAAAGGGATCGCACCGCAGATGGTGCAATTCTCACTTCAGCCAGCAGGTGGCGGGCCAAGACCACATGGACCGTCACAACCCTTCGTGGACAGAGCCTGGGCTGGAACGCTCGTTTCTGGACTCACTTTGATTTCGTTCCACAAATTCCCAGGGATCACCTGGCTTTGTTTGCAGCACCCAGATGGTCGTGCAAAGATGGGGACTCCAGCCCCGCGGCAAACCTGGATGAGGTGGATTTGAGCCCCATCTGCCGCAGCACTTTCTGGGGCCCCAGGCTCTTAGCCCACCATCTGCGGCCATCTGGAGGGGTGAGCCTCCAGCAGTGACGTTGGAGAGCAGAGACTAGGGCTCCCCTGGATTCCCGCTCTCCAGTGGGGGGGCCTTGGGGTCCTCCTGGGGTCCCACGGGGGCTGCCATAGACAGAGGCCACAAGTTTTCCCCACACTCTTACCCTCAACTCCCCACCTCTGCAGACCCCCACCCTCCAGCCCCATCCCTGGATCTGCTCCTGGAGCTCCACTCCTGACTCCTGCCCAGCCCGGCCCACAGATACCCCACCCTCTGCCTCGGAGGCCACAGCAGCAGCAGACTCAGACGGGCCTGTGTTACACCAGCCAGGCCAAGAGCAGGAGGAACACCAGGACCAGGGCTGCGGCCAGGGTCACAGAGGGCACCAGGTCCGAGTCCTCGGGACCGAGGATGGCATCTCCAAGGGCATGGTGGAGGGCGGCAGGGGCACCAGACAGCTGGGTGTCAGCGACCTTCTCTCCGGGGGGCCCTGGCCGGCCCATCTGTGGGAAGGGGGACCTGAGGGACAGGAATTCCTCTGGGAAGCGTCCCACTCTCTGCCTGGCCGTCCCATCCCTCTCCTCTGGGAGGCCCTCCAGACATAGCAGGTGACCAGAGGTCCCCGAGGTGACCCTGGGCAGTGACTCCCTGAGCCTCAGTTTTCTCCGCTGTAAAACCGGGATGCCAAAGGCCACCAGGGAGGACAGGGACCAGATGAGACAGTAGCGCCTGGGCTATTGGCATCTCCTCCCCGCCCCCCAACCCCTTACCTTCTCTCTTGAGACGACTGGGGCTGGAAAGTCAGGTTCGGCACCACAGCCCCCGAGACCTTTGCCCTTGTGCCAGGGGATCTGGAATGCGGCTCTGCTGGTTTCTTGGGTACTTAGAAGCCTAGGACTCATCTGGGGGGAACTTTGTCAAACTGCAGGAGAAGCCCCATCAAGGCCTGCCAGCTGCCCTCTGCCCACACAGTGGCTGGGGCGGTGGGCACCAGATTACATCCGTTTTACAATTGAGAAAACCCAGGTTCAGAGAAGGAAGCACCTCCCTGGAGCAGGGTTCCCGAGAAGTACCAGAGGTTGGCAGAGGCGGTCACAGCATCCTGGGTCCTCTTGGACCTCAGGCTCCTCGTCTGCACAGGGGCAGACTGTGCATGAACTCGTTTGCTAAGCTCCAGCACCGAGGATCGGCCAGGGATGGAGACAGCCCAGGAGTCGGAGGTGGTCTCCACCCAGCCCCTCCCCACCCCAGGCAGCCCTGCAGGACGTTTACCTTCTGGCCAGGGCGGGAGGTGGCTCCCACGACCGGGACCGGCCACGTTCCCCAGTGCAGGCAGCGACCAGTGGCAGCTTGATTGGATCAAGTAGGGAACCTTCTTCTAAAGAACCCACCCTCCTTGGGGCCTCCCTCGGGGAGGGATTGGAGATGGGGGGCGGGGAAATGAGGGACCGGCCCCCGCTGTGGGTGTGTCCGGGTCAGAGAGGGGAAGCAGAATGGGTGCTCCCACCCCCAGACAAGTGCTCTCTGCTTCTTCTGAGCGGACAACTCCCTGAGGGGGCTGGAAGGGGCTCAGGAAATTGAGCAGGGACCTCTTGGCACCCCTATGTGCCTGCGCCATGCCAGGCATGGGAAGGGGGGCAGGGGGGGAGGAGGAGAGCCCCACCCCGTCCCAGAGGCCAGGTCCCCAAGCAGCCCATCTAGGGCAGGCCCAGGTGGCAAGAGAGAAGGCCCAAGTGACCCAGTGAGGGAGATGGTAGTTAAAAGAGGTCCAAGGACCAGAGAAACATCCTTGGTGGAGGAAATCATCCTTTAAAGACAAAGATGGTCATTGAATCACTAATTTTAAAAGCGAACATGTTTGAAATAGCCTTAATGCCCATGACAGAAGATTCCTGAACAAACTCAGGTTATGTCTCAATTGTTAAAATACGGTTACAAGGCTTGTGCAACACCAGCGATGAGGGTCACCATTTATTGGGTGCTGGATCCAAAGCCTATGTCCTTTACGGCAATAAAAGGCTTAAAATACGTAAAGTGGCCACACAGTTGTATAGACACACAACGAAAATAATGGGAAAATATGAAGATTAGACGCAGGTGGGGAAAGACACGGAAATGCCAGCAGGGTGATGGATGGGGCTTTCCGGAGCCTGTTTTTCCTGTGGGTCTACTAGTTGGATTTCCATAGTAAAAGGGAATTATACCTTTTTTTCTTTTAACGTTTATCTGTTTATTTTTGAGAGAGAGCAAGCATTTGTGCACGAGCACAAGAGAGGTGGAGAGAATCCCAAGCAGACCCAGCTCGATGCCACAACCCGAATGTGAGATGGAGACCTGAGCCGCAGTCGAGTCCTACCCTTCACTGACTGAGCAGCCCAGGCACCCCTATATAACACCTTTTTCAAGCAACTCACTGTTACAATAGCTAGAACTTGGAAATAACCTAAATGTTCAACAACAAAGGATCAGTTCAAACATAACACGGGGCCTGGCAGGGCAGTAGAATGGGGTGGGATCCAGCCCCTCCCGGAAAAAGCCCACAGGGGGCAGCGGGCCCCAGTGACTGTGCTGTTATTGGAGGGTGAGCTTCCTGGGATATTCAGTTTCTGCTTTTCTTATCTTGTGATTTTATCTTATTACCTGGATGATTCTCAACAAGCCGTTTATTCCTGCAATCAAAAAACACCAGAAACGGGAAAATGCAAGTCTCTGCCCCTGGAGCCACCACCCTCTCTTCTCTGGGTCACACACACACACACACACACACACACCCTGGCTGTCGGGGATGCG